AAGTACTACCCAACCCCGTAAAATAATCATGTTTGACTAAAATAGATTTTTATATAATAATATGTAAAAATACTCACACCATCGAAATTCTTTTCACTTTGATTTTTATCAAGACTACTTCTCTACAACAATCCTCAACTTCTCTATAAAACTTCATAATAACTCTTCTCTTTGATTTCCTCAAAAATCACTTCTTCTCTAACTTCCTAGTAATTTAGAAGGGCGGTGCTCAACCTTTCGGTAGAGCCCGGTGGACCGTGGTTACGGACGGCCACCCCGAACAAGTGCCGGTACCACAACTGCTCTGTTGGAAACGAAACGACTACCTTAAGTGTGCACACCCCCTAAAAGGGATTCCAAGCCCCCCGAGTAGTAAGTCGTAACGAGTAGTCGGGACTCAGTCTACCAACTACCCCTGAATAAGATATTTTGAATGATTAGGGATTACTACTACCATAACTTCTTCTTAAAAGGGATCATCGATCCAAATATCACTTTAAACTCAAACTGTACTTCTTAGTAGTAGCAAACCTAATCACCCTCCACATTTATCCGGACGTGGAAAACCGACACCACGGATTTCTCCCGTGATGCTCACCTCTTATGAAATCATTCTTTTATCTTGAATTAATATACTTCAAAATATTTCTCAACTCCTAAAAAAAATATTTATATAAAATATTTACCCCCAAAAGCACTTAGTTTCACGAATCATCTCAGAATCACATGCATAAAAGTCATACTTCACACTTAAAATCACGTATCACATAATACATATATAATACGAGGAAACGATTTTTGGATTGACAGAGAAACTTACCTCTGGTCCGATAATTCATAAACAGAGCTTCTATCTTGATCTTCTTCCAATTCACCTTCTAAAATATTAAAATTCTAGAATTAATAGTTATTCAAGTTCTTCATAAATTATTACCCAATTACGGTTTAATCATCTCCATTTAGGCCGTCCAACCCAAGTCTTATGCTTGATTTAGCTTTAAATCCCAATATAATAGGTCTGTCCATATAATAGTTGTCGGCCTAACTATTATTAATATTAATATCAATACCGCACCAGTCCATCCTTATTATAAACTTCAGCCAACAAAACAAAACAACAGAAGCCCGTCATTTTCTTCGCAAGAAGGGAAGCAGTACGTACTTACTTTCTTTTTCAGCGGAAACGGAGGAGATGACCGGCGACGACAGTTCTCTTCACGGCGACTTCAGCCTCCTTCCAACAATGTGTGACGACAGAGATGTGTAGGTGTGTACCAGCGTGGCTTAGTGGTCGCATCCGGTGAAGGATCTTCCCTTCTGGCGTCGGCAGTGGGTGGTCCGACGATTGTGAAGCCTCCACCCCCGGCACCGTTGTAATGGAACTCCGGCGTCGGTAACAACTCCGGCGAATACAGTGCACGGCGGTAAAGCCGCAAAAGTTCTTCTGCCCTCTTCTCCGATCCGACGACCTTCTCTATCTCTCCGGCGGTCTGCAACAACCGTGATATGGACGCAGCAACGGTTTCCTTCTCCGGCAAGCTTTCTATCTTCACTGGCAGTTCGCGTTAGGTTTGCGTTTCCTTCGCAGGTTTTGGATGCGGAGACTCTGCCGGTTGTAGGCTTGTAGTATATACTTCGTATCATCTTGGATTGTTTTTAGGTTTAGGCGCAGTTCATTTGTGTATATATACGCGGTACTCCGTATTGTTGCCATTTACAAATGCTGCGCATGTTGGCCGTATAACATCCGTGGGTTACAAATCTTTTGCCTTTAATTTCATTTATCAAGTTTCCATAATTATACGTAGTACATACGTTTCCTTATTACTACCTTATTAGGTAATACGAATTACATACGTAGTACATACGTGATTACATACGTTTCATTTATCAGGTAATACGAATTACTACCTTATTACTACATATTATTGGTACCTGGTATAAAATATTACTTCTTTTATCGGACCATTTTTATCTGACTAAAAATGTCACAATTGTAAATTTTCTGTCTGGTTCACTTGTTTCATAAAATGTTGTTCCTACTCCTGAAATATTTTTATCTGACTAAGACGTCACAAATTTTGAAATTTTATCTGATTCTAATGTCACATCTGTTGAATTTTTGTTTGACTCACTTAATAATTAAAATGTCATTTCCGTAACATTTTATCTGAATAATAAAAATTATTTTTATTTTATTTAATTTTTTTTTTTGGAGTGTCACAGTTGTCCTTCTCGTTCTGATAAATGGTTGCTACAGAAAGGACCAAAGGGGTAAATCGCGTCGTTCTTGAAGGTGGAGCGGCCGCTAGGGTAGGACCCAGCCGATCAGCCAATTTCATTGGTGTGGGGGTGCAATTACCTTATCCCTGATTAGGATTTCTTCTTCCAGAGCCGCATGCTTCCGGGATCTGTCCAGCACTTCAGAATAAACCGTACCTGGATTCTTTTTTAGCTCTTTATACAATTCACCCGTTCGGAGAGCGTTAGTAAATAAGGTGATGGCTGTATCATCCGTCATGCTCCCCACTTTTAGGGTCTCATCCCTCCATCTCTTGAGGAATTGATTTAAGGTCTCCTTCGAGCCCTGCCTGATACTCGTCAGGTAACTGAAGTGCCTCTTCGGAGTGGCACTGGATGCAAACTGGGCCAGGAATAATGCTGATAATTCGGAAAAGCTGCCGATCGATCCGGGCTGCAGGGTCCCGAACCATTCCTGGGTAGGCCCCCTGAGCGTGCTGAAGAAAAGTCGGCAAATGGCCGGCTCCGATGCTCCCAATAGCATAAGTCCCCCTTGATAACTCCTCAAGTGTCCGTGGGGATCTCCCGCCCCATCATATATCTCACCGGTCGGCGGTTTGGCATCCATGTGGATCTCCGCTTGCATGATTTCCCAGGTGAAAGGGGAAGTGATTCCGGCCTGAACTGGAGTAGGCTGCAGAGGGGCTCTGTTCATTTGTTCCCTCATTTCGTTCATCTGCCTCCTCATGTCGGCCATTTCTTCCTCCTAGGCTGTTAGGGGAGGCGGTGGTGGAGTTCCCAAGTTTACAAACTCTCGATTGGCCTCCGGCGGCAGAGTTGTTCCTTTATTATGGCGTCTCTGCCCGAATCTCGTATTGTTACACTCTTCACACTGGAACTGGCGGCCAATGGGCGTATCTCCTCTGGCCCGTGACCCGGTCGGGGTGCGGTCACTAGGAGTGTGACGCCTGGCCCCGGCCGCATGAGCTCTTCCGCGCTCTCCTCGGTGGGCTCGTGAGTGATTTGATGCCGTGGTCGTTTCTGCATCGGTGGTTTCATCGTTGAAGGATGGGGTTGTGTATCTGGTTTCCCCGGTGTACTTGGACTGTCCCCCATCCTGGTCATCCGCCATTTGTCGCATGAACTAAGCCAAATCTCGCATGGCATGGGGGTTCCTTCTTAATGCTTCAGGGATAACGAAATCCCCGTCAAAGTGGGGGTAGGATCCCCGGCTGGATTGCCCTTGGGGGCCGGTTTTCCCCACGTCCATCTGAAGTTCCTCCGGTATGATGAGAGGTAATTCTAACCCTTTTGAAAATAGCTTTTTGTTTGGTGTGAAATTTTTTGTTCAGAGTTCCCACAGACGACGCCAATGTTGAGGTTTAATCCTGTAGATCTGAAAGCCCAACACACTCTGGATATATCAGGAAATGGACAATAATTCGGTGTGTAAAAGAAATATAAAAGATTGATAATCGAATGCTCAAAAACCCACTTGTATTAATTGACATGTTTGATTACAAGGAAATTACCCGAACGATACGTCATATTGATGGTTAATACAAGAAACAAGAGTAATAAGGCTATTCCAGGGTTTGAGTATTAAAATGCTAACCCTTACAATGATATTAAACCTTCTATTTATACTAATGGAGAGTATGAGACGCTTTATGCTGATTGGCCGATGTTCCACCGACTTGATGACCCATGTCTCCACTTGATGATGTCACAATCTGGCATTAATTGCACCTGGCCACCTGTTGGTTGTCCATTGCCCGAACGAGATAATGGGCCCTGTAAAACATTGTTGATTTGGCCCAAGTATGATGTATGACCCGAACCCCGTTCGGTATGTCTGTTCTCTGGGCCAGCCTTTTTTCTTGGCTCGAACCTCGTTCGATATGAATATCTCACTGTGCCTACTTATCATAAGGTAGTGGACTCGTTGTTTGGGCTGGATGTCCTGGGCCTTTAATCTGGGTATTGGGCCTCCGGGTCAATATCCCAACATTAATTTTACTTATCTTTTTTTTAACTAATTTAATTATAACTGATCAACTAAAAAAATCTTACAAATTTATTTCAAAATTTCATTAATCCACATAAAATAAGTATATTACATTAATAATCATACACTATATATTACTGAAATTTTGTGTGTAATATTTTCTTACATTATACACTTTTATAAATTATTTTTCATATTCATAAACTTTTTTCTATAGTGTATTTCTTCATTTCTTTGCAAAACAAGATATCTTTCTTGTCTTTTTTACACAGAGTATGTATTTAGTGTTTTTAAGATATTAAATTTGTTTATTTTGATTCAAATTTGATAAAACATGAGATTACATTTTTAATATATGTAAATAATGTTTATAAACAATTTTTAGAGTTACATTTGATAGTCTATTTTGAAGTTGCATTTTTTATGCGTGAATTACAACTTCTTGTGCGTGAGTTATATCTTTCTATGCGACAGTTACATTTGGGATTTTCTCAATAAGCTACATTTTACATACACCTATGTTAGATTTTCCTACAATGCGAGTTACATTTCTATAACACGCGTTATATCACTGAATAACTCTGAGAGCATGATGTTCATAGTGAGTCGATACCATGATTTAGGAACTGACCAAATTTGATATGAGACTATTTTAATGTGATATACGAAAAAGTAAAATGAGACAATATTAGGGGAAGAGAGAACAATAATTTGTACTACGTATGAAACCATTGGTGACGGGATTCGGCGGATGTGGGACAATCTAGTGTAGTCCAACTCGCCTCATTGACAAACCCAACAGCCCATAAACAAGCTTGTCTGTATTCATTCCAAACCCAGCTGGCAAGACCATTTCACGTGCCTCCTGTCAACCCCTCTCTATTCCCGTCCACTCCCTTCAACAGTTGCTGAAATATCTCGTGTCCCTCCTCTTCTTCCCATAAATATATACGCTCATAATCATTTCTGTCTCTCTCTCCTTCCCTCTCCGCCATTATCAAATAATCCCGCCGAGAGAGATCGGATCGAGAGGGGATATCAGCAATGAGAGAAATCCTGCACATTCAGGGAGGCCAATGCGGCAACCAGATTGGCTCCAAGTTCTGGGAAGTCATCTGTGACGAGCACGGCGTTGATCCGACCGGCCGCTACAAGGGAGAAGAAGGAAGCGCTGCCGCGGATCTCCACCTCGAGCGCATTAATGTTTATTTCAATGAGGCTACCGGAGGCCGTTACGTTCCTCGCGCCGTCCTTATGGATCTCGAACCAGGAACTATGGACAGTATCAGATCTGGACCGTATGGCCAGATCTTCAGGCCAGACAACTTCGTCTTTGGGCAGTCTGGTGCAGGTAACAATTGGGCCAAAGGTCATTATACCGAAGGAGCTGAGCTGATTGATTCCGTTCTCGATGTTGTTCGAAAGGAAGCCGAGAATTGCGATTGTTTGCAAGGTGAGTTTTCGCTTCGCTTCCCATCTACACTAGATTATTGTCGGCATTTTTATGTTACATAAAGCATATGTGTTTGCTCACGCGATGCATTATCTGTGGATTACATGCGTATATTGTATTGGCACTGATGCAGTGATTTAGGAACCGTTCGCCCTAACGCGTAGTGTATTTCCGATTTTGCGACACAGCCTGTTTGTGCATCTATGGAGATCCATTCAAATTTCCAACCCGTTCGCAGTATATTCCTATTTATGAGAGTCACAAATGTCTATACTATAGCTAAACTTGTGCTGCGACTGATATATATATTTTAGTTTAAATGGTTTAAAATGACCACAGATAACTTGATTGTCAAATGAAGCATGACGGTGATTCATTGCTCTGCACACATTTAGCATTGCTGTCCTGGAACTAGACCACTTTCAATTTGATGTGCCCCATTTAGCTATGTGGAATACATGTTTGACTTTTTAAAGTCTTATGTAACTTTTTGGTGCTATAAATGTGTATTGAAGTACCCAGATTTATATCTACATGAAGTAAATTTGGAAGGATATAATCTATTCTATCTGCAACCTGCATTAGATTTATTTAGTACCCATATAGAAATGGCCACACACTATTTTTGTTCAGTGTTGAACTAGTTTATTTTTGTTCATGATAGAGTGGTGCCAAATCTCAATGTTGAACTAGTTTATTTTTGTTCAGTGTGATTATGCCGTTTTATGAGTGTGAAAACCAGTTATGGATGAATTCCATTAGTGGTCCCTGCTTGGTAGTACTAATAGAGAAACTTAGAATTCTTTACCTGTTTTAAAGACTATTATTTGATTGCAATAGGTATGCATTGATAGCGTAATGGTGGGTAAAATTTTTACATTAATGAGCATGTGCTTTATGTCTGTAAGGGCCTAACTTCCTCCACCCACCCCAAGATAATGTCTGGAACACACTGTTAGTCTACTATTGAGGAACATGGATTGTGATGTTCCATAGAATGTAAACTCACAATGAGTTATTTGTTCCTCTGTTTTTGTGTTTGTTGCTGCACTTCTATCAGCATGTTTCTTATTTTCGACTGCATGAAATAAAAAATTTGGTTAATAAAAAAGAACAGTAATGAGTGGTACTGATGTTTCCCATTGCCACTTCTTTCATGATGACAGGTTTCCAGGTTTGTCACTCACTTGGAGGTGGTACCGGGTCAGGCATGGGAACTCTGTTGATCTCAAAGATAAGGGAGGAATATCCCGATAGAATGATGCTCACCTTCTCTGTCTTCCCATCACCAAAGGTCTCTGACACTGTTGTGGAGCCATACAATGCCACACTCTCTGTTCATCAGCTGGTGGAGAATGCAGATGAATGCATGGTCCTTGACAATGAAGCACTCTATGATATCTGTTTCAGGACCTTGAAACTAAGCACCCCAAGCTGTAAGTACATACATAAAATGGCTTTACTATGACCTTATACTTACAATTAATGCCTGATTTAGTTCCTCGATCCTACACTGTAAAATAAAGTAAGTGTATCTGACTCAATCTAGCCCTTCACTGTTAAACTCATAGAAATTAAGTTTGTCACGAGTTCTAACTTCTAACAAAGAAGAAACTAAGCACCCCATGCTGTAAGTACATACATAAAATGGCTTTACTATGACCATCATCATCATTTTCATTTACCCCAGTGCCGCAAAGGCTCCCACCTACGGTGGGGTAGGGGGGGTCGGATGTACGCAGTCTTACCCTTGTACTAAAGCACAGAGAGACTGTTTCCGGATGACCCATAGTGAAAATCCCGTCCAAAATTGCATGGACTGACTGCTGCTATAAAAAGCGCAGACAGTTTAGTGAGCCATTTTGCTTTATTCCATCATAATCTCAAGCCAAAAAATAATGAATCTTTGGCTCCATGCAAACGATGGAAAAATAAAGTAAGTGTATCTGACTCAATCTAGTCCTTCACTGTTAAACTCATAGAAATTAAGTTTGTCACGAGTTCTAACTTCTAACAAAGAAGGGGGCGTCTTTTCACTATTTGTGTACCATATTATAGAGTTGATTTTAACCTCAATTATTTATTATTGGCTGGATATTTTTTCAGTCTATGAAAATACCCTTCTTAATTAGAATGAGATATGCATAAGGGTCTTGAAATAATTTTCATCTTTCAATTGGCACACTTTTCTAGTGATTGAAACTAAAATACCTAGTTAGCTTTTCTTTGCATTTTAAACGTGTTTTAAACACGTACCGTTTTTTTGAGTAAAAAAACACGTTTAAAATGAATAATAATGTCGGCCTGTTTAAAAAGGAAAAAACTCCTACTTCCCGTATAAAAACGTACTTTTCCCGTATTTTACAAAAAGTAGAAATATAAATTGATCAATAGAATGAATGCATTAAATGCATAGGAGATCAACAATAGTTTAAAAGCAAAAAGCAAAACCTCCTCCCCGTGGCCCTGTGTTTTTGTATTGTTACAATACAAAGTATACTATTATTAAATACTAAAATTAATTGCATTGCGGCTAAAACTAGCATCCTAAAAGACTAAAACTTAAAATACTACTAGAAATCTGATGTTTTTCCAAACAAGCATATCAAATTTAAGAATTTTTTCTATACCTTACATTTATTTGTATAAACTTTTACACATAAACAACAATAAGCGTACTAATCGCACAACTTTTCTCATATGTCATCCGTTATCTTGATGAAAATGATGAGTTTAACTTGAGTGTTATTTGATGATCATATAAAAATAATGATTTTAACTTAGTCTCTTTCTATTGTTACAATGCCTTGTATTTTTTGACACTATTTTGCACAATTATGTTTTGGACTTGATTACTATTTTTTTGTCATCAACTTATGCATTTATGAATAATTCTTTTATGTAATAATGAGATTTGCTACTTGAAAATGTGTATAATGTTATTTCTTTTTACTATATATGTTATTTTGTGAAGTATATAATTTAAATGTTCGAAATGATACCCTGTATTTTGTGTCCGATTTTTTGTAACAGACATCGTATTATACATGTTACCGAATAAAACGTGTACGTATTAAACCTCGTTTAATTCCCGTACCGTATTTAACTAACTATGCTAAAATATGTGCTTGAGATCTGGGTTGAAATTACCAAAAGTGTATCAGCAACATGTTTCTTTTCTAAACATAATAAAACAAAAGGATTATTATGGGATGGACCATAAAGGAAAATAAGAAGAATATTTCGGGAAGATGTGAGTATTGCATAGTCGGATGGACCATTGGGAATAAGCTCTACAGTCTTATTATCTTTAATAAGAAACAGCTCTAAGTAGTCATAAACATAATGATATCTTTTGTTCTTGTCCCTAGTTGGCGACCTCAACCATTTGATCTCTGCTACTATGAGTGGAGTAACCTGTTGCTTGAGATTCCCTGGGCAGCTGAACTCTGACCTTAGAAAGCTGGCAGTGAATCTGATCCCGTTCCCCCGCCTTCACTTCTTCATGGTGGGATTTGCACCACTCACCTCGCGCGGATCCCAGCAATACATCTCCCTCACAGTCCCGGAACTCACCCAACAGATGTGGGACTCCAAGAACATGATGTGTGCTGCCGATCCACGACACGGGCGTTACTTGACTGCATCTGCCATGTTCAGGGGGAAGATGAGCACGAAGGAGGTTGACGAACAGATGATCAACGTCCAGAACAAGAACTCTTCCTACTTCGTCGAGTGGATCCCAAACAATGTGAAGTCAAGCGTGTGTGACATTCCACCTACTGGTTTGAAAATGTCCTCAACATTCATTGGGAACTCAACATCTATTCAGGAGATGTTTAGGAGAGTGAGTGAGCAGTTCACTGCTATGTTTAGGCGCAAGGCCTTCTTGCATTGGTACACGGGTGAGGGGATGGATGAAATGGAGTTCACTGAGGCAGAGAGCAATATGAATGATTTGGTGGCGGAGTATCAGCAGTACCAAGATGCCACTGCTGATGATGAGGAAGAAGAGTACAACGAGGGAGAGGATGAGTATGAAAACTAAGGGTTAAAAAGGCTTTTCATTTCATGAAGGCCCCTGGTTATGTTACAACTGATAATGCTCATTTTAAATTCTTATTATTATGTCATTTTCATTTTCATTCTATAACTGATAATGCTCTCCTCTTTTGTTGTTTAAAATCTTTCCTAAGCACCGAAATATATTGGGCTTTTCTTTCTAAAAAGCGGCGCAAATCCATCTTGAATTATTATTTCGTCACTTTCTTAATTTTGAGTTCTGTATGATACGGTTGATACCCACTGTTATTCATTGCATTTCGCGCAACTATTACAGTATTACAGAGTATTACGGTTTTAGAGCTTTGACCATCTATTAAAGTAATTGTGTGCATTTTCAATATCAAAATAGTTGTTGAAAATGTATTTAGGCGCGTGCATCTCGTAGTTGCCTGGTAACTGTTGCAGGCACACATAATTGATGTGTACAGGTTGTTTCAGTTACTTCATTTTTAGTCTTTGACTTCAAAGTTTTTACATTTAGTCCCCTGTGTATTATCGATATGACACTTTTAGTCCTTTCACTATGATTTTGACCTATTAAGTGAAAGACTAAAAATGTCACTAATATAATAGTTGAAAGACCAAAAGTGTCACTTCTATGAAAGTCGTACGATTAAATATAAAAAAATTCAAAGATGAGTACTAAAAGTGTCTCTAACACAATAGTCTAGGACTAAAAGTGGAAAAAGTTAAAGTCGAGTATCAAAAGTGGCAATGACATATTAGTCGGAGGATCAAAACTCAAAAGTGACAAAAACTCTTTAAATGATTGTTCTCTTAGAGCTGGGCTCTGTTCGACATAGATGTGTACAGAAACGGGTTCGGGTTGGGCTCAGTTTTTTTTTAAATGCTGCTTATTATGTGTGGGCGGGTTTGGTCTAGCTCGCAAAAACGGGCCTAACCCCATGTCCTTACCCGCTTGTAAGAGTGGACTGGGTAGTCCATCAGACAACCCGTCTCCTGAAAACTTTTATTTTATAATAATAATAATTATTTTTTAATACTTTAAAAATAATATTACAATATATAAAAAATTGTTAATACGCTTATAATGTTTATAGGCTTTTCACAATTTCACCACATACACAAAAAATACTTGCACAAAAATAATAATGAGACTATAAATAAAATTTAAAATTCAAGTAAAATAGATATTATATAGGTTGAACTAATTGTAAAGAATTAAAAACTTAAATTCAAACATAATAAATTATAAATATGCATCCCTATGTCTTTTCTAAGGTTTTCACTTTCTTTTTTGGGATATTCCATTTAAATGTTTCTATTTCTATTTTAAGAAACAATTTATACTATTAAATGACAATTTAAGCATCAAGTATTGAAAATAATACATCTATAAAATCACTTATCTTCAATGATCTCATTATATTTTATAATCATCAAAATTTCTTTTCAAAATATACTCGAATTACCCTTTGTAACTATTGTCTAAATAATCGTACCATTTTGCAATGACAACTTTTGAATGGGACGGAGATAGTATAAAGCTAAATTAGAAAATATAAATATAGACATGTACATGTAAATAAATAAATTAGTATATATATATATATATATATATATGTATATACTAAATGTAGTAGGTCGGGCTTATCGGCTCGAATGAGCCTACAACCCTACACCCTAACCCAAGCCCGCCCATATGCTATTGCAGGCCGGCCCGACCATAGTCCAGTGGGTAGATATATATGTCCAAATCCGCGTATTTGTGCGGATGGGCCGATAGAGCTGGCCCGTTTCTGTGCAGGTCTAGTTTGACATTATGAACTGGGGTGGGATATTAAGCGTTGTTTAAATTAGATGTACCAAACACAACATTCTCTGTGCTATCAAGTATCGATTCCGTATTATGAAAATTGGACCAAAAGGTGACTCAGACAAATGATCGGGTTAAGGGTCAATTAGATCAATATTACTTAAATATAATACGGGGTAAAAAATACTACATAAAATATGTATATATATTTATAAGATTTAATTCGTAAAGGGAAAAGGATATAATCATTCATAATTTAATAATGATAAGAGGTTTTTCCTTGAATATTATCACAGTATTATAAAAGTGATGAATAAAAATATAACTTAAGTTGGCGCTCACAACATGCTAACGATGATGAGTTTTAGTTTTAATCCCGATTTGTCTTCAATCATATTATTTTATGTTCACGGGTTCAATTTGGGTCATGCAAGCTGTCGGTTTTTTTAGGATTCACTAAATTAGCGGGCTAATGAATAACCAGACCGAATTAGTGTCGGGTTGTTGATTTATCGGTGACCCATCCAGTCTGATTTTTAAAACATTGTTGTCTACCTAACTAGAAGCGTGCAATTTATTAGTATTAAAAGTAAAATATTTAAGAAAAAATCGACAAAAATTATCTCATCTTTGCACCCCATCATCTTTTTTTGGACTCTGATCGGTTGGTGACATACTATAACATATTTTTTGCATTTTTTTTGGAAAACTACATAAATAATCTCCCTTTCACAAATTTGGTCAAAGTAGTCTCATGATTCATTTTTTCTTTTTCCTCCCTAAATGTTTTCTTTCTTTAATCCATATGCACTATTATTTCCTTTTCCATTCTTTTGTTCTTACCTCTTTTCGATATTTATAATTCTATTTCTCACTTTATTAGGAGAGTTTTTTTTTTGTAAAATTGATATATTTTTTGTCATTTTCTTTTTCTTCCTGTATTTTTATTTCATTTTCCTTATGTTTTTTTGCTTAGTCATTCTCCTTTTACTTAAAATCTTTTTCCCACTACTTTTTGTTATATTTCCTTTTTATTTCACTTTTCCCCTTTTTTCTTGTTTTTACTTTTTTAATGTTTTTCTTCTTCTTTCTTCTTTTCTTTCTTCTTGGTATCTTAATTCCATAATCAATATATTTTTTCTTCTCTCTTCATTATCATATTTTTCTAAGTAAATTCATCTATTAGTTCCATCGATTGTGGCAAAAACTCTATGATAAAAAGATTAGAGAAAAATAAAATTTCAAGAAAAATAAAACATTCTTTCTAACATTTTCACGAATGTTTTATTTTTCTTTCAATTTTATTTTCTCCTAATACTTTTGTCACATAGAGTATTTCTCATAGTTGATGAAATCAATAGTGAATAAGTGAATTTACTTAGAAAACTACAATAATGCAAACAGGAGAAAAAATATATTGCCGGTGGAATTAAGATAGCAAGAAGAAAGAAAAAAACATTAAAAAGCAACAAGAAGAAAAAAGAGCAAAAGAGAAAATCAAAAGAAAATATAATAAAAAGTAGAGTGCGAAAAAGATCCATAATAAAAAAAGAACGATTAAGAAGAGAAACACATAAAAGGGGAATGAAATAAAAAAAAAAACATGAAGAAAAAGAAAATGACAAAAAAAAATATTTGGGAAGAAAATTTGACATAAAAAACACTCCTAATAGAGTGAGAAATAAAAGAATAATTATAGAAAAGAAATAAGAACAAAAGGATAAAAAAGGGAATAAAAGTGAAGTGTAAAGGTGGAATTATTTTGAGATTACGTAAAAGTGATATTATTATAAGAAAACCGGTTCAAGGCAGTGGCGGAACCAGCTTCGTGATCTTGGAGGGGTACATTACCTCAGAAGGCTCGACCTTTACTACCTTTAGAAATCTGTGTACAAAATCGATTCATATGAATTCTTTGTCAAACTTGAGCCTGACTATCCACAACAACAAAAAATAACAAGCTCAGTACATGGCTATAGCCCAAAATACGCAATAGCAAAGCCGCTACGCCAGTCACCTCAAAACAATAATGCCCTCGATCAGTCGCTAGACCTAGTGGTCGCCAACGTTATTCACTTATTCCGGCCTAATTCCGGCGAATTCCAAAGAAACTCTCTCAATGTAATCAACCCTCCGAGCATCAACGTTAGTAGTCGAGCTCATAAATATATTACTCCCTTTATTTTGTTAAGATTTTCTTACATTTTCTTTTCAATATGCCTCATTAACATTGATCAATATCAAATTGATTGTGGTTCTAAATTATTTTTACATTCAAAAGTTGATTGTCGACCACCCTGTATAATATATATGTATAGAGTCATTCTCCTGTCCAGCAGTCACCGGTCCGAACGTCGTCCGAACATCGCCGTTTGGGGAGGTTCTAGGTGGAATTTTTTCATGAAATATTTTGATCTTATTCCTCATCAAGTCTAGTTTATTCATACCAAATTTCAGCGTAAAATTCGATCGCGAAGGCAGTCAAACAATTTGTTGAAGTTAACTGCGCCAAATTATACATAGAAAAACGCAGTTAAATTCAAAAAATTATTTTACTGCCTTCCCGAACGAATTTTAAGCTGAAATTTAGTATGGATAAACTAGACTTGATGAGGAACATGCTCAAAAAATTTCATCAAAAAATTCTACCGGAAACCGCCCCAAACAGCGATGTTCGGAGGACGTTCGGAGAGAAACGTGCTGGACCTGAAAATTTCTCTCTATATATAATAAAAAGAAATCTGCAGAGCCGCAGGGGCACAAGCACCCCCAAGCTCTAGTGTAGTTCCGCCCCTGGTTCAAGGTGAGGTGAGATTATTCTGTAAATTTTTCGAATATTTAATTAAGGAGATATCTATCATCCCGATTCTCGAACATATCAGGTAATTGTCACCCGTTTCTGTTGCATTTGTATAACAATTATAGGAGATCCATAAGACTAATAATCTTGGTCAAAGTTAAACCCCTTCCATTTTTTATTATTTAGGCTCCCCACCAAAAGCTATATATAGTCACTAGTAGCAAATTACGACACATCAAACACTCCAAAATGCTAGAACATTAAAGAAGTTTTAGAAGAAGATATGAACGAAAGCCCTTCTTTTCTCGCTCCTTAATCCTCACCATCTATACATATATCACCCGTTTATAAAATGATATAAAATAATGGAAAGGCGGAAAGCAATGGCGGTTCCAAAGTAATTCAACAACTATAGTCCATATATATATAGTAGGTCACCCCAATGTAAATCACTATAATATCTATCCAAGAGTTCTAAGCTTAGCTCCATAAACATATTTACACAAACACATAGAAAGAGACTATAGAGAGGGATACCATAGAAATGGAAATGAGAAAGGAAAGAGGAAGATTCAGCTGGAGAGACCAAACCATGGATTCAAAGGCTTCATCACCCCCTTTCCCTTTGATGATTTTTGCTGGCGCACTCTTCTTTTTCATTTTCTTGCGGAACAACGAGGAAAAACGGTCTAGCGAATACATCGGCGGGAGCAGCGGGGGCATTACCTTAGTCCATTACTCACTCATCTTCCTTTTGTTCCTCTATGTTCACGTGACCATCGTCAACAGCCGCTGGTTTTCCAGGCCGTTATACCAGTCCACAACGACGGATAACAGCAGTTCCTCTTGGGGTTTGGGGTTGCTCCTCATCCTACTTCTTGTTTTGGTCCATTACAAAGAGATTTTCTTTGTTCTTCTTTTGTTTTTGTTATGGTCCATTGTATAGATTATTAAGTTCAGTCTGGTTTGTTTGGTTGTGAAGAGGGAAAAAGTAGAGACACGTGGTGTTTTGTATATTGTTTGTGGGAGAGAAATGTGAAGCAATTGAGAGGGAGGTTATTCTGTCCAAGGAGAAGAAATAAAGTTGGTGCCACACTTTGTGGTTACTTCTAACCACACTTCTATCCATATTTCTTCCGACCAAACAAAGGCTTCATGTTTGCTTGTTTGCCATATAGTTTTGCAGTATACACATATTTGGCGATATATGACCATAATAATTTTTAAAAGAAAATTAAAGATGCTTTCATTTAGACAAAAAGTCTAAATCTAATCTGTTCAATTTCTTCCGACCAAACAAAGGCTTCATGTTTGCTTGTTTGCCATATAGTTTTGCAGTATACACATATTTGGCGATATATGACCATAATAATTTTTAAAAGAAAATTAAAGATGCTTTCATTTAGACAAAAAGTCTAAATCTAATCTGTTCAAGTTTGATCTTGTCATACATAGAAAGCACTCACCTGTATAAGTGTATAACAGTGTGTGTGCATATAATAGAAGTGTGCACAGAAGATATGCCATTAAAGAGAATATCATTTCCATAATGCAGTGTGTACTATACTCTGTTCTGAATCTATAATCCAACCACACAAAAGCTAAAGCTATGTAAGGCACAGAGATGCATGCCCCAAAATTTCTACAGTTTTTCATACTGATACAGAAGCAAAACTGATAATGTGAACTTGTTATCCAACCTGAGGTGAAGAGATCTTCAACTTAGGTATTTGGAAAGAAGATGTGAACAGTCTTGGGGAGTCATCCATTTGGTTGCTCTTCAAGTTCCCATTTCTCTGGACAAAGTTCAATTCTATATCAGTTATGAGAATATAATTCTTAAAGATATGGCTAAAATTCTATTTTAATGTCGTGGTACCAGTGCACCAAATACGCAATAGAATGTCACTATGAAGTATCATAGAAAAATAAATTGATCGAAAAAGTTCACTGCATGGAAAAATGAAAGAGTTCAGTGCACGTGAATCAGACCTTGACTGACGCTGGTGATGTTTTCAATGGAATTGTTAGAACAGTCATAGGTGGAGGAGTATCATCCATTCGCTTTCTTGAGTGTCCATTTCTCTGGATAAATTCAATTTTAATCAACTAATCGAATATAACTCCTAGAGCATGGCAAGAGTTTGTTTTTATATATTCATTTCGCGAGCAAGAGAAAATCAGAATATGGCAACTGGCAAGCAAGAGCATGGCAGTAGAAGTATAAAGAAATACTTTTAAAACGCTCCAATCTTTTGAGAAATACAAAAAACAAAATTTTGATTAAAAAAGACTCAAATCCTTTCACCTATTCCATATGAAACAACATCAAGTATGGGAAAACCATAAAAAGTTTTCCGGAAAAAATATTTCATGTGAAACAAACGGAACCATGAAGAAAAACAAGCAAAAATATAGTGCACTAAAGCAAAGAGTCTACACAGCAAAAAAAAAAAAGTGAATGGGACCTTCACAGGGGCTGTGTTTTTTCCCAATGAACCAGTGGTATCAACCATTTGCTTCCTCGAGTTCTCATTTTTCTGGACAAATGGCAAACTTTTGTTTTTATATAGTCATACTTTACCACGCAAGCAACAGAAAAGTGATTAAGGGGGTATTCACCGCCTTATTACTTAAAAAACTTTTTTAAGACTAATTTTTAAAAATACAATATCATAAAAGATGATTAATAATGATCCAATAATTTCATGTATGGAGTATTTGATAAGAAACAGCCTCGAATATAGGAAAAGCCAGGAAACACTTTCTTCGAAAATATTTGAATTTGATGTGAAACAAAGCCATTGAGAAACAAGAAAAGACATAGTGCACTAAGGAAAAGAAGTTTAAACAGAAAAAAGCAAGTGAAAGCCACAATGTATCATGTAGTACTATAATTAAAATACCATTTTTACGGCTATATTTTATTTCTTTTAAAACACCCCTTTTAACATAAAAAAATGGATTTAAGAAAATGACTTTAATTCTACATAATTGCTTTGAAACAAATTCAAATATGAAGAAAAACCAGAAAGCAATTCAATGAAACATACCTCATGTGAAATAAATGAAGCCATTGAAAAACAAGCAAAGACATAGTGCACTAAAGCGATCAAGTCCAAACAAAAACAAGTCAAAGAAAATGGGACCTTCATATAGGCTAGTGAGTTATTTAATGAGCCAGTCGTAGCTCTGGCGCCATCAGTTCGCATCTTCTTCAAGTTCTCATTTCTCTGGAGAACAATCAATTTTACAATCAGTTAATAGAATGTAATGCTTAAAGACATGGCATGAGTTAGTTTGATATATTTATGTAGTATCATGCAAGCAAGAGAAAGTTACAATGTACCACATGGTAACTATAACTTTTGGAAAAGGGTCAGATATCCCCTTATACTATTCCAAATCCATCAAATATAATCCCCCTGTACTACGAAAAAGTATCACAAAAACAGATTTATATACTATTAAAAGATAATCAATTTAACCCCTTAACTGCCAGACAACCTTCTATAGGACGTCACATACTGATGTGCCATATTTGTGTCTTTCTTTTCTCTTATTTCATTTCTTTCTTCACTCTTAGCTATTTAGACCATCCATCCCTTGCCGTCTAGTTTTTATCCTCCTTTCTTCCTTAGTGTATATGTGTTAATGGAAAACACCAAAAGAGCAAGAATATTACCCAAACGTGTCTGTGCACACACGCAGAGATGAAAGCAAGGAATGAACATATTGTGGTTTTAATATCAGAGGTTCAAAGAAATAGCAACGAGATCATATATATCATTCAAAGTATCACCTTTTTTTCATACATCTGAAAAAGGGACAAAACAAGAATGAAAGGGTCCTTAGAAAGTGATAGAGTACGCAGTATTACCAGAAGAATAAACAGTCAAGCTAGCTTCAGAAAAACAGTAATTCTCATTAATGGCGGTAGACAGTACAATCCAGTCCCAAAGAGAAGAGAACTATTCTCTAATCTCCCAGTCCCAATGCCTAAGCATCAAACAGCCTGCCCCTCCCGCCTAAGTTTATTCTATTTATATCCTTTCAGTCACAGCTGAAGGTAGTTATTATTAATAACGGACCAAACTAATAATAACTGACTACTACTTCCTTCTAGAATAAACTTGGCCAAATCTATTATTATTATTAATAGACGGGTCTCTATCAATACTCCCCGGCTGAAGAATAAGCTTGTCCTCAAGCATAAAGTCTGGAAATTGTGTCTTCATCACCTCTGCATTCTCCCAAGAATTTTCAAAATCCGGAAGATCTTTCCACTGGATCAAAACTTCTGTTTCACCCCCTGGCCCTTCCTTATATCAACCACCTTTTCAGGAATCACCTGTAGTGGGGAAGAGGTTGGCAGGAAGTGTTGGAGCTCACAGCTTTCTTGAGTAAGGAGATATGGAAAACAGGATGCACCAAACACTGATCTGGTAATTTTAGCTTAACAGCTACATCATATATCTTCTCCACAACTTCAAAGGGTCCATAAAATCTAGGACTCAGTTTCTGATTGGTTCTCCTTGCTAAACTCTGCAGTTTGTAGGGCTGAATCTTCAGAAATACCCTGTCACCCACTTCCACCTTCATTTCTCTCCTGTGTCTGTCAGCTTGCTGTTTCATCTTATTTTGAGCAATGGCTAGATGTTCTTTAATTTCAGCTAACATTCCATTCCTCTCTGCAGTTAATCTTGTCACCTCATCATTAGCAGTTAGATTCACATCCCCTTTTACTACTGCAAGGGGTTCTTGCCCATATAAAGCCTGGTAAGGAGTCTGTTTTAAAGATATATGATAATTGGTATTATACCAATATTCAGCCCATGGTAGCCATTTAATCCATTCTCTAGGTTTCTTCCCAGTGAGACACCTCAAATAGGTCTCTAAGCACCTGTTGACAACTTCAGTTTGCCCATCAGACTAAGGATGATAAGCTGTGCTGTATTTCAGTTGTGTCCCAGCCAACCTGAATAATTCTGACCAAAAAGAACTTAGGAATATGCTATCTCTGTCACTCACTATGGATTTTGGGAATCCATGGAGTCTCACCACTTCCTTGATAAACACTTCTGCTACTCCTTTAGCATTGTATGGGTGGGATAGAGGTATGAAATGTGCAAATTTGGTCAACCTATCCACCACCACCAATACAGTGTCCTTTCCTTGAGCTTTGGGTAGTCCTCCAATGAAATCCATGCTAATGTCAGTCCATATCTGCTCTGGAATGGGCAAAGGTTGCAGTAAACCTGCAGGCTTCAAGGCCTGATATTTATTCCTCTGACAAACTTCACAGTTTAGCACATATCGTTGAATATCTTTCCTCATTCCTACCCAGTAAAATAGAGTAGATATTCTTTTCATGGTTCTGAAGTTCCCTGAGTGTCCACCAGTTGCTGAATCATGATATTCTTTCAGAATTCTAGTTATCCTGGGAGAGTTCTGAGGAATCATCAACCTTCCTTTGTAGTACAACAACCCATTTTTTAATTTGAACTCAGCCATGTGATCTGGATAACTGATGACCCTCTGAATAGTGTCAAAACATTTGGGATCTGTCAACAATTCATCTTCTAATCCCTCCCACTCTTGACAATTTACTATAGACAATGCTGAGAAGCTGGCCTTCCTTGACAAGGCATCTGCAGCCTTATTCTCACAGCCAGGTTTGTATTTAATAGTGAAATTGTAGCCCATGAGTTTAGAAATCCATTTTTGTTGATCCTCCCCCATGATAGTTTGTTCAGTCAAATATTTAAGGCTCCTTTGATCTGTGTGAACCTAAAACTTCCTCCCCAACAAATATGGTCTCCATTTTTGTATGGCAAACACAATGGCCATCAATTCTTTCTCATAAACTGACTTGCTCAAATGTTTAGGTGACAGTTCCTTGCTCATAAAAGCAATTGGACCCCCATCTTGCATTAAAACTGCCCCTAATCCTCTTCCTGAAGCATCAGTTTCCACAATAAAATTTTTACTGAAATCTGGGACTCTTAAAACTGGTAAAGTAGACATAATCTTCTTTAATTCTTCAAAAGCTCTGTGAGCCTCTTCATTCCATTTTAACCCATCTTTCTTTAGGAGCTGTGTTAAGGGTGCTGCAATGTGACTGTACCCTCTAACAAATCTTCTGTAATATCCAGTAAGACCCAAGAAACCCCTCAATTCCTTCAGGTCCTTAGGAATAGCCCATTCCTTCATGGCTTCAGTTTTACTAGGGTCAGCTGCCACCCCTTCTGCTGAAATGATATGGCCAAGGTAGTTCAATTGTTCTTGGCCCAAAAAACATTTCTTCTGATTTGCCACCAATTCATTCCTCCTTAATGCTTCCAAAACTAACCTCAAATGTTCTTTATGCTCTTCTCTAGTTTTACTATAAACTAGGATATCATCAAAGAACACTAAAGCAAATTTTCTGAGGAAAGGTCTCAAAACTTCATTCATAAGGGACTGGAAGGTTGAAGGTGCATTAGTCAACCCAAACGGCATGACTAAGTATTCGTAATGACCTTCATGTGTTCTGAAAGCAGTTTTATGGATGTCCTCCTCCTTCATCCTAATCTGATGATAACCAGATTTAAGATCCAGTTTAGAAAAGATCCTTGCACCACCCAATTCATCAAGGAGTTCTTCTATGACAGGTATGGGGAATTTGTCAGGTACTGTAATCTTATTTAAAGCTCTGTAATCACCACAAAATCTCCAACCCCCATCTTTCTTTCTGGCCAGTAAAATAGGACTGCTATAGGGACTGTTAGTGTGTTTAATGATCCCAGAAGATAACATTTCACTGATTATTTTCTCTATTTCATTCTTCTGATCAAAGGTATACCTGTAAGGCCTCAGATTGGGTATGTTTGCTCCTTCCTGGATGTTTATGGTATGATCACAGTTCCTGGCTGGTGGAAACTTCAACTGGTTTGTGAAAACCTTTGGAAATTCAGTAATTAACCCTTCCCATTCCTCCAATTCCTTCTTATTCTGCCCCTCTTCATTTTTCTGTCCTTCATAACAAAGTAGGTATCCATCCCCATTGTCCTGTAAAATATGTAGCATAGTTTTCAATGGAACCTCCAAATTACCCAAGGCTGTTTCTCCCTTGATGGTGCAGTTTCTCCCTTGTTGCTTCCAATTCAATACCTGGTTCTGGAAATTAACCTCCACATTGCCCAATTCTGTCAACCACTCCATTCCCAAAACCACATCTGTGCCTCCAAGTTCCAAAATGTAGTAAGATTGTTGTATTTCAGCTCCCTTTACTTCCAATTTCAGTCCATCACATCTGCCTCCATTAGGAATAAGATCACCATTCCCAATCTGAACCTTAAACCCTTTTATAGGAACAAAAGGAATATTCCCATCATCAACCAACTCCCAGGATATGAAATTGTGGGTAGCACCACAGTCAATTAAGATATTCACCTGTTTCTGTCCATCTATCCATTTCAGGTTACCTTTCACTTTGAAAGTTCTCATTGAAGGGATGCCAGCTTTACTTAAAACAGATAATTGCATAGTTTTAAGTTGCTGAAAATCCCCTTCTTCCTCTTCATTATCCATAGCCTCAACTTCAGATTCATTCTCTCCCTCAGATTGCTCCACCAGTATCATTTTGTAATTCTTCATCTTACAAACATGCCCCTTATTCCAATCTTCTCCGCATTTGAAACATAATCCCTTCCTACTTCTCTCTTGCAATTCAGTTCTGGATAATCTAGGGCCATTTCTATTCATATCTGGTGCTTTCACTTCCTTATTAATTTTCTGATCAAATGTACTTCTGAGCATACCTGCAGATTGGTTAGGTATGCTTTTCCATCTATTTCCATCACTCCAATTTGGTTGTGTGCTCTGGTTATTGTATTTCCCCTGCCCTTTCTTCTTCTCTTCATATTTGTTCCTCACAATGATTGCTTCATTATTCTTATTCTCAATAAGTGAGGCTTTATCCATGATCTCAGCCAAAGTCCTTGTAGAATAGAGTTTCAATTCAGCCCTGATGTCACGTTGAAGACCTTTTAGAAACACTCCTTTCAAAACCTCTTCAGATAAGTGGCTCTGTGAAGCAATAGCAATCTCAAATTTATTTCTGTACTCTTTTATGGTCCCTTTCTGCTTTAAACTGAATAGTGGTCCCAACGGATCTTGTACTAACTCCGGTTGGAATCGTTTAGTCAAATCCCTGGTAAACGACTCCCAATTCATGTGTTGAGCTTGTCCCTCCCACCATTGGAACCAGCTCAAGGCCTGGTCCTCCATTGCTATCACTGCTACGTCGATTTTATCCTCTTCCTCGGTATGATTCAATCTGAAATACCGGTTCATCCTTACCAACCATCCAAACACATCTTCGCCACTGAAAATAGGTAAATCTATTTTCCTTCCTGCAGTAGGGCGACATCTGTGGTGTCTATGACGATCGCGATCATCGTGAGTATCGTCGCGATCGGAATTAGTACCTGAATCTTCAATTCCTTCCATTCGTCTCGCATGTCGGCGGTGAGAAGAACGATGCGAGGTACTAGAGTGATGTGATTGGCTACGCGATCGATCTGACATTCTCCTCTGAATGTCGGCAATGCTGGCTTGCATCGCAGACATCATTGTGTGCATATCACGCTGATTCCTTTCAGTATTAGCTTGGTACTCTCTTTGATTTGTCTCCATGTTCAGTTGCATCTCCCTGTGGTTCCGTTCCATCTCAGTCAATCTCCCTTCCATTTTCGCACGAGTTAAGATCATTCAGCGATCACACGTGCTCTGATACCACTGATAAAGTACGCAGTATTACTAGAAGAATAAACAGTCAAGCTAGCTTCAGAAAAACAGTAATTCTCATTAATGGCGGTAGACAGTACAATCCAGTCCCAAAGAGAAGAGAACTATTCTCTAATCTCCCAGTCCCAATGCCTAAGCATCAAACAGCCTGCCCCTCCCGCCTAAGTTTATTCTATTTATATCCTTTCAGTCACAGCTGAAGGTAGTTATTATTAATAACGGACCAAACTAATAATAACTGACTACTACTTCCTTCTAGAATAAACTTGGCCAAATCTATTATTATTATTAATAGACGGGTCTCTATCAGAAAGAAGACTTTAATTCTTGGATTTCCTTTTCAAGAGTCTGAGCCTGACAGTTTCTTAAATAGAATGGGAAAGAGAGGAATCGGCAATCTGACAGACATAAATATCAAAGCAGAAAGATGCATATATTTCATTGAATGGATAAAAACAGGGGAAGAAAAAGAAAAATGAGAGGAGGAAAATATAGCAACAACAACATCCAAGCCTTAGTCCCAAAAAATTTTGGGATATTGGACTGGGATATAGCAAAGGAAAAAAAATTACGATAGACAGAGGAAGGGTGCAAAGGAAGGGGAAAAGAAAAGAAAACACAAGTAAAAACAAGAAGGTAATAGAAGAAAAGTGAAAGGCCGGCTATAGAATGTTATCTTCTGATTAATTGGCCAAAGAGATGTTATTATGAGTGCAAGTAGGACTTATTTGGAATTTTGGACCCTTTCCCAAAAACTTTGTTGTTTAAAAACAAAACAAACATTAACCCGTTTTATGGACAAAAACTAAACAAACAATTAATTAAAGATTGAAAAGCCAGATAGTGTTTCCCTGAAAAACATTTCATGTGAAACAAACGGAGCCATTGCAAAACATTTCATGTCAAATTAAATGTGACCTTCACAAAGGATGGTGAGTTCTTCAATGAACCTATCATAGCTGGGGTGTCGTCCATTTGCTTCCTCTTAAAGTTCCCATGTCCCTGGACAAAGTTCAAATATAGTCAGTTAATAGAATATAATTTTGAAAGACATAGAAAGAGATTGTTATTATATTATCATAGCTTACCATGCAAGCAAGAGAAAGTCAAAAAATATCATGTAGCACCATAAAAGACTTTAAAGGCTCCATTTGTTTAAGACACAATAAGATACCCCTTTTACGAACAAAACCAAAGAAATACAATTGATTCAAGATAGTGACTGTTACATTCAAGTGATTCAACTCATTTGCTAAGAAATAACCTCAAATATGGTAAAAGGCAGCAAAGGTTTCCTTTGAAAAATATTTCAGGTCAAACAAATGGAGCCATTGGCAGAAGCCAAGATATAGTGCACTAAAGCAAGCACGCCCATACAGAAAAGAGTTAAAGTAAACTGGACCTTCCCAGGTGAGCTATTCACTAAAACAGTCATATCTATTGCACCCTTCCCATTCATTCTGTCAGTGGTCCTACTTCTCAAGGTCCTGGACCTAGTTGAGTAGCTTTTGAGTTCTGTGGTGTCATCCATTAGCTTCCTCTTCGAGTTCCCACTTTTCTGTACAAAGTTCAACTTTAATCAGATATTAGAGCATAACTTTTTTATCAATGGCAAGTGTTTATATTTTATATTCACATGGTACCATACAAGCAAGATAAATTCACTATGTATCACATAGTACTGTTTAATAAACTTTTTCCAAGCCAACGTATTTTTAAAAAAAGCAATGATTAAGTGATTAAGTGAGTGAGAATACACCCCCTTATTACTTAAAAAAAACTTTTTTAGGGATATTTTTTTTTAATACAGTATCATAAAAGATGATTAATAATGCCAATCATTTCACGTACGGAGTATTTGATAAGAAACAGCCTTGAATATGGTAAAAGCCAGGAAACACTTTCCTGGAAAAATATTTGAATTTGATGTGAAACAAAACGAGCCATTGAGAAACAAGAAAACACATAGTGCACTAAGGAAAAGAAGTTTAAACAGAAAATAGCCAGTGAAAGCCACAATGTATCAAGTAGTACTATAATAAAAATACCATTTTTACGGCTATATTTTATTTCTTTTAAAACACCCCTTTTAACATAAAAAAATGAATTTAAGAAAATGACTTTAATTCTACATAATTGCTTTGAAACAAATTCAAATATGAAGAAAAACCAGAAAGCAATTCAATGAAACATACTTCATGTGAAATAAATGAAGCCATTGAAAAACATGCAAAGACATAGTACACTAAAGGGAATAAGTCCAAACAAAAACAAGTCAAAGAAAATGGAACCTTCACATAGGCTAGTGAGTTATTTAATGAACCAGTCATAGCTCCGGCGTCATCAGCTCGCATCTTCTTCAACTTCTCATTTCTCTGGAGAACAATCAATTTTACAATCATTTAATAGAATGTAATGCTTAAAGACATGGCATGAGTTTGTTTGATATATTTATGTAGTACCATGCAAGCAAGAGAAAGTTACAATGTACCACATGGTAAATATATAACTTTTGGAAAGGGGTCAGATATCCCCTTATACTATTCCAAATCCATCAAATGTAATCCCCCTGAACTACGAAAAAGTATCACAAAAACACATTTATCTACTATCAAAAGATAATCAATTTGACCCCTTAACTGGCAGACAACCTTCTATAGGACGTCACATACTGATGTGCCATATTTGTGTCTTTCTTTTGTTAGGAATGGGCCTATTATTAGAAATAATAATAAGTGGGCCTATTATTGTAGATAATAATAAGTGGGCTTGTATTATAAATAGAAGTACTATAAATAGAAGTCTGGAGTCTAAGAATGGTAGGCAAGTATTTGGACTTGGATAGGCTAGGAGACTGGGCATCTCGAATAGTCCTAGGCATTGTATACGACGTTCTGTACTCTTCTTCTACATCAATAAAATCTTCTTGATCTCTTTCTTGATCAATTTCTTACTGATTCATTACAATTCTGAGTATCGATTATCAGTGTTTTATCATTGGTATCAGAGCATCAACTATCGCTGGAGACTGTTAAGATTGAGCAGATGAACTTAGCGATGGAAAAAGTTGTGATGAACTTGGCGATGCTACAGGAGACAATCGCGAAGAGCAACAGTAACCAAAATCGACCGAGGAATCCGTCGTTCACAACGCGCAGCTCGCAGCACTCTTCGCATCGCCAATCGCTCACCAGTTCGCAGGAATCGCGAACTGTTCCTTCGCATCGCACTTCGCGACTGGTAGACGCGAGAAATTCTGATCAGTCTCGTTCTGGTGTGAATCGGGATAAAAGTGGTAAACGATCGCGATCGTCGCACAGTCCAGTACATCCCAGAGGTAATTCCGTTCATTCTAAGGTCAACTATCATCGTCATTGTGATGAACATACGAGAAACCCTGTACGCACCAGCAAAAAAATAGATTTACCATTGTTTAACGGCGAGGGAGCATATAACTGGATTATACAAATGGAGAGGTATTTTCGGTTAAATGACATTGAAGAAGAAGAGAAGGTTGAAGCTTCTAGGGTAGCTATGGAAGATAGGGCTTTGAACTGGTTTCATTCGTGGGAGTACCGGACTGAAGAAACTAACTGGGACACTTTAAGAAATCTATCATTCGTAGATTTCAACCTGAGTTGATTTCTTCTCACAGTTCGAAATCACGGACTTCAGCATCCACCAGCGGTTCACGACCAAGTAAAACTCTATCGAGAGAGGCTTCCCGTTCACAGATGTCATCCCAAACCGCTTCAGCGCCTTCACGAACAGTTTTGCTTAATTTGCAGACCTCATCTCTGGCGCAGTCGCGAACAGTGTCTACCAGTTCGCAGGTCTCAGTTCATAGAGCTCAGTGCGCGACTCATCTCAGTTCGCAGGACTCACCGCAGGTTTCATCACATATTTCTGCTTCTCACAGTCCGCAAGTGGAGTCAGTTTCATTCCCGCAGCAGTCGGTGAGTCAGCTACAACCTAACTCTGAAGATACACTCATCATTGGTGATGAGGAACGAGGGGAGAGAACTTCTGTGGTGATTCAGTCCATTGCCATGGAAACTGAGAAAATAGAAGAGGGTGAATCAAAGTCTGAGAAAAAGGACAAAATTGAAATACCAAATCAAATTAGATCCTCTGCAGGGTTTGTTAGTTTGAGCTATGATCAAGGTTATTATTCTGAGCATCTGAAAGTTGCTGACAAGGTTGTTGTTGAAAAGCGAATGCACCGTTCTCCTGTCACCGAAGAAGAATTTGAGGCCCATGGGTGTTCTGGGGTGGATTATAAACACTTATTTGGTGGGGTGGTGATGTACTGGAATCCTTCTGAAATGTCTGGGACCAGTTTTTTGCGCCCTCCTTCACTTAGTTCAGATGATAGTTCTTGGGCATGGCGAGTGGCAGATATGAACAAGGTTGTTGATGACAGAGTTGACCTTGTTTCCTCGCAATATTTCTTTTTGCTCTTCCTTTGATCTTTTTGGCTCAGAATTTAGTGAATATGTTATATCTGGAAGTAAAGTTCATACTGGCAAGGTTGCACAGACAACTTGTGTGCAGCAGCATCCAGATATTTCACTTCGGATACAATCAATTGAAATGCTGGAAACACAGATGCTGGAAGATGCAAACTTTTGCAACATAAGAGAACATTCTGCCTCCAGGACCTTGTTACTACTCCTTACAGAGAAGAACATGAAGATGCAGCTTCAAGTACTGAAGCTAAAGATCCAGAATGCAATGTTGTATTGGGAAGGAAGAGGTGCTAGAATGAAGTGCAAGTGGGAGATCATGGTTGATTCATATCACCCACCTTGAGGACAAGGTGGTTGTTTGGGGGGGAGTATTGTTAGGAATGGGCCTATTATTAGAAATAATAATAAGTGGGCCTATTATTGTAGATAATAATAAGTGGGCTTGTATTATAAATAGAAGTACTATAAATAGAAGTCTGGAGTCTAAGAATGGTAGGCAAGTATTTGGACTTGGATAGGCTAGGAGACTGGGCATCTCGAATAGTCCTAGGCATTGTATATGACGTTCTGTACTCTTCTTCTACATCCATAAATCTTCTTGATCTCTTTCTTGATCAATTTCTTACTGATTCTTTACAATTCTGAGTATCGATTATCAGTGTTTTATCATCTTTTCTCTTATTTCATTTCTTTCTTCACCCCTAGCTATTTAGACCATCCATCCCTTGCCGTCTAGTTTTTATCCGCCTTTCTTCCTTAGTGTATATGTGTTAATGAAAACACCAAAAGAGCAAGAATATTACCTAGGGATGGACTCGGTCCGGTCCGGGCTTTTTGTGGGAAACATAGGCCCGGAACCGGCCTTGGTACCTACCGGGTCCGGGCCGAGGCAGGGCGGGTACCCAATTTTTTTTCTAATTACTTCCTACCCCCCACCCCCACACACCTCAAACACCCAGCCCAACTCATTTACCTATTTAAAATTTTGGAAAAAAAAATAAAATTTGCCCCGGACCGGCCGGGCCGGTTCATCATTTGGGAGGCCCAGAAACCGCCCCTCTAGAGTGCCGAGCCGGGCCGGGTGGCCCGGACCGGGCACAGAACCGGGTACCGGGTCGGGTCGGGTCGGGCCGTAACAGTACCCGTTCGGGCCGTTTACGGACCATTTAACCCGGCCCAAGTCCATCCCAAATATTACCCAGACGTGTCTGCGCACACACAGAGATAAAAGCAAGGAATGAACATATTGTGGTTTTAATATCAGAGGTTCAAAGAAATAGCAACGAGATCATAGATATCATTCAAAGTATCACCTTTTTTCATACTACCTCCGTCCCTTAAAACTTTGCCAAAGTTTTAAGGCACGGAGAATAATAAATTTAAAACTGTGTGATTGAGGTTTGTGCAGAGGAGAGGGAAATAACAGAAACCACAAAATAATTGATTAAAAGGAAAAGTGGCAAAGTTTTTTGGGACGTCCCAAAAAGGAAAGACGGCAAAGTTTTAAGGGACAGAGGGAGTACATCTGAAAAAAGGGACAAAACAGGAACGAAAGGGTCCTTAGTAACAAGACTTTAATTCTTGGTTTTCCTTTTCAAGAGCCTGAGCCTGACAGTTTCTTAAATAGAATGGGAAAGAGAGGAATCGGCAATATGACAGACATAAAAATCAAAGCAGAAAGATGAATATTTCATTGAATGGATAAAAACAAGGGAAGAAAAAGAAACATGAGAGGAGGAAAATATAGCAACAACAACATACAAGCCTTAGTCCCAAAAAAATTGGCATATTGGACTGGGGAAGGGTGCAAAGGAAGAAGAAAAGAAAAGAAAAGAGAAAAAGACGAGTAAAAACAAGAAGGGAATAGAAGAAAAGTGAAAGGCCGGCTATAGAATGTTATCTTCTGATTAATTGGCCAAAGAGATGTTATTATGAATGCAAGGACTTATTTGGAATTTTGGACCTTTTCCCACAAACTTTGTTGTTTAAAAACAAAACAAACATTAACCCGTTTTATGGACAAAAACTAAACAAACAATTAATTAAAGATTGAAAAACCAGATAGTGTTTCCCTGAAAAGCATTTCATGTGAAACAAACAGAGCCATTGAAAAACATTTCATGTCAAATTAAATGTGACCTTCACAAAGGATGGTGAGTTCTTCAATGAACCTATCATAGCTGGGGTGTCATCCATTTTCTTCCTTTTCAAGTTCCCATGTGCCTGGACAAAGTTGAAATATAGTCAGTTAATAGAAAATAATTTTGAAAGACATAGAAAGAGATTGTAATTATATTATCATTGCTTACCATGCAAGCAAGAGAAAGTCAAACAAATATCATGTAGCACCATAAAAAAGACTTTAAAGGCTCCATTTGTTTAAGACACAATAAGATACCCCATTTACGAGCAAACCAAAGAAATACAATTGATTCAAGATGATGACTGTCACATTCAAGTGATTCAACTCATTTGCTAAGAAATAACCTCAAATATGGTAAAAGGCAGCAAAGGTTTCTTTAAAAAATATTTCATATCAAACAAATGGAACCAGTGACAGAAGCAAAGATATAGTCTTAGTTTTAAAAGGCGTGAGGCGGCATGAGGCGATTCATCGATTTACTCGAGGCGCGAGGCGCAAGGCGACGAGGCACGCGCCTCACTGATCGAAACCATATATCTTTGGTAAAATATATTTTTACAACTTCTACATGAAGCACTCTTCTAAAAAATACTTCTATTAATAGTAAATATATTTACAATAAACTGTTAGTACTTAATTCAAATCCTAAGCAATTAATAGTTAATTTTTAAAAAACCTTTTATATAATGATTATTAATAACAACCAGCTCTCATATATAATTGACTGATTATTATATAATAAACTTATAAAGTATCAAGAGTATAAAGTTAAACAATCAGATTGACAGATTCGACAAACCATATTTATTATTTCTAAAAATTGATAAAATTCGGATTGGGATTAGGGTTTAGGGAAGATTGTTATATGGTTATATAATTACATAATTTGAATTATTTTATTTATTTTAAAAATAATAGTGTAACGAATACAAAGACTAGCGGAAGAAAGAAAACAAAGAGAATGGAAGAAAGAAACTTACGCAGCCGAACAAAAAGAAACAAAGAGAACGGCCGGAAAAAAAAAACATAAAAATGGCAATCTGCGACAGAGGAGCGGAAGATTTGAGACTTTGAGTTGATGGAGTGAAGTAACCTTACCTTACATACATATATTACCCTACGAAAATTCTGGAAATCGAGAGGGATGAATCGCCAAAAGGCTTGAAGGAAGTTTAGCGGACATAATCCATAAGGCGTGAAAGGCAACGCTTCAAAGAGGCGCAAAATGCGGCACTAGGCGAGGTAAAAGGCGCGCCTTATGGAATCTGCTGCGCCTGGGATGTTTGGATGCGATGAAGTCATCGCCTAGAGGCGCCTCGCGCCTTTGCGCGCCTCAGACGCGCTTTTTAAAACCAAGGATATAGTGCAGTAAAGCAAGCACGTCCATACAGAAAAGAGTTAAAGTAAACTGGACCTTTCCAGGTGAGCTATTCACTAAAACAGTCATATCTATTGCACCCTTCCCATTCATTCTGTCAGTGGTCCTACTTCTCAAGGTCCTGGACCTAGTTGAGTAGCTCTTGAGTTCTGTGGTGTCATCCATTACCTTCCTCTTCAAATTCCCACTTTTCTGTACAAAGTTCAACTTTAATCAGATATTAGAGCATAACTTTTTTATCAATGGCAAGTGTTTATATTTTATATTCACATGGTACCATACAAGCAAGATAAATTCACTTTGTATCACATAGTACTGTTTAAAAAACTTTTTCCAAGCCAACGTATTTTTAAAAAAGCAATGTTTTTCCTTCAAAAATTTGTTCTATACTTTGATGTGTAATATTTTAACCACTTAGAAAACTTGTTCTATACTTTGCCTTTTAAACACGATATAATATCCATTTTAAAAAACAAAAACAAAGAAATGCAATTGATTCCAGAAAAAGACTGTTTCATTCAGCAAATTTGCTAAGAAATAACCTCAAATATGGGAAAAGGCACCAACTGTTTCCCTCAAAAGAATCAGGTCAAACAAACGGGGCCATTGACAGACAAGCAAAGACATAGTGCACTAAAGCAAGCAACTCCATATATAAAAAGTCAAAGTAAACAGGATCCTCACAGGTGAGCTCTTCACTGAAACGGTCATAGCTATTTCACCCTTCCCACTCATTCCATTGGTGGTCCTACTTCTCAAGGTCATGGACCTAGTTGCATAGCATTTGAGTTCTGAGGTGTTATCCATTACATTCCTCTTTGAGTTCCCAGTTCTCTGTTCAAAGTTCAACTTTAATCAGTTATTATAGCATGTTTTTTAATACATGGAAAGTGTTTGCATTTTATATTGACATTCTACCATGCAAGCAAGAGAAAGTCACTATGTACAACATAATACTATTAAAAAAGCTTTACTAAAGCTCAATTTACTTTTAAAGCAAATTGAGGTTGCTAAGAAACAACCTCAATTTGAAACCCGGGAGAGTGACTCCGGAAAAATATCTCATCTTAATAAGTGGAGCCGTTTAAAAAAAAAAAAAAAAAACATAGTGCACTTGGAGCAACTCAAGCAAGGAAAATCCATTCAGAAAAAAGTCAAAGCAAATGAGACCTTCACAGGGGCTGGTGGATTCTTCACTGCAACAGTTCTAGGTATCACACTCTTCCCATTCATCCCAGTGCTCTCTATCATCGAAGGCCCTGATCTAGTTGAGCAAGGTTTCAGCTTAGGCGTTGCATGGTCATTATTGTTCTTCTTCAATGATTGTAGTTCACTAGAAAGCCTGGATATCTCACCATTTTGCTTAACACATACACCTTCCATTTTTGAAATTTGATTCCTCAAATCTAAGTTGGACGTTCCCAATTCCTCGATCTTTTTCACAAGTGACTCCATCTTCTTGTTCGCTATATCAAGCTCAATACATTTTTGTTTCAACTGATCACGTGTATCATTTTCAAGTTTGTTATATTGGTTCCAGACAAAACTCTTTTCAGCCACTAGCTTTGAGATCTCGATGTCTTTCTTAGCTAAAAGCTGACGGCTTTCATGAGACTGCCTCCTTAGTTCGCTCTCTGATGAACTGTTCTTCACCCCGTCAATCATTTTGTCAGAAACACCCTTCAAAACAACAACAAAACTTTAAACATACATGAAACATAATGCTAGTCAAACTAAATGTACAAGAAATATTATAAAGAACTTACTTTGTCCCTGGAGATTTTAGAAGACTGGATTTCAATACATTTTCTGAGATCCTTCAACTCACAAGAAGTTTTTTCTGCATTGTGTAGGCAATACAAACATGATAATGAGACAAAAAAATTGAAACATTATTACAAAATTATATGCCATTTTATTCATGTTGAAACTAATAAAAAAAATTCCTTGTGCATAGATTCTGAGGTTCTCTTCTCAAGTAGCTGGAGACAAAAAAAAATAGAAACTTTATTACAAAATTTTATGTCATTTTCTTCAATCTCCTATCATTTCCTTTGTAGCAAACTAGCAATGATTATTATTTTTTTGAGTAGAGCAAATCTAAAAAACACTAACCACATTTATCTTTAAGCAAAAAAATATCGAGCTCTTTTATTCCTAAAATCACTTCCCATTCTGCAGCCTCAGCCACACTCCCCACCTTTTGAGCTGTCAACTCGTCCCTCATCTGTAGAAAGAAAATCAAATACAAATGAATACAATCCCACAATAATCAAAGCATCCAATTCAACTTGATCTCACACACAAAACCCTTGCTCTATTGAATGGAACACCAAAAATTGTAAATACTTACCTGATCAATTTCACCTTGCAATAGTTTAACGTCAGAAACCCATCGTTCATTTTCTAATACGATTCTGTCTTGAAGAATTTTTCGTTCTTGAAGAAGGTAATCCAACTGCGCATGCTGCGTTCGCACCATGCACTCCATGGCATTGTATAGATTCCTCCAATTTCTCTTATCCAAATCAGGGGAATCCCGTTTCGTCATTGATGATGCAACTAGGAAAATGGAGGTTTGGGTACATTGATTAGAGAACTTCACGAGTCGATTAAAGTTTGATGCGAAGTAGGGTAGCAAATTAGGGTGAAAGCTCCCTTTCTCTATTCATGCGATTAAGAGAAGGGCTGGGCACGGGACCGGGGCAGGTAATGCAAAATAAAATGGAACCGCCGGTTCCATTATGCGGGTCGGTCCAGTCCGGGTATTGCGTTTTTCAAAACAGGAATCAGAGCTTACCCGGTCCGTTTGAAACGGGTGAGTCCGGTCCGGGTTTTTCGGTTCCGGTTTGAATATCTTAAAAGCAGTAAAAACTTATGTAGTTCCAAAATTCAATAATATAGTCCATAACTTCATATATCTAACTTCCATACATTCAAAAAACTTCCAAAAATCAACAACATAACCACTGATAAATTCCCAACAACAACACCAAAGGTTCACATCATCACTGATATTCATTACTAGCTTAAAAGAACTCCAAAACTGAAATATAGAGAATTTGAGACATATTTTCATCGGCCTTAACAATCTCAGGACATAAAAAGCATAACTCTCACGATCCCTTGTAAAACCGGTAATACAGCAAATGGATTACCAAATCTACCTCCTGATCTAGTGTTGCATCATACTTGTGGGCTTCCTTCAGTAGCCTTATCTAGTTTCTCCTTTAAAGCAAAATATAGTCAGTAATAAATAAGCAGAATTCTTGTTTGTGGCTGGCTTACTTGGGCTCAAATTGACATTGTTGTGGCTTTTTAAACTCACACTGTTAAGCCGCAAAGTTTTTTGCTTCAAAAATTTTAAAAATAATATAGCTTAAAAGCTAAATGTATTATGTATGGAGTATATACCATTTTAAAAGCCACTATCATTGAAAGATGCTTCCGACCATGACTGAAATGAATAACCCTTTGAAGAACTTCTCGGGTTTACTCAATTCAGCCAAATAGCGCTTAATAAACAAGCCCTTATTCTCTATATTAAAATTAATAAATTCATCCATGCCAACTTTTGGAACCAATAATTGTCCTACTTCTATACAAGGTCAATAAACACAAAGCAGAACCCCATTTAACCCATGTCACTGTGGTTTCTTTCAAGAAAGCATTATACCAAAACAAAAATGATTCTTTTAAAATACTGCAGCCAATGGTACATCTGAAACTCGATAGCCTGCAAAAATAACAGGCTGCACTAGTGCATTGCAACACTAGATTCAGATGAAATGGTAATACCAAGCTGGCTGATAAGTGATAACAGTGCAATAAAATAAAAAAATTAAACATAAATAATGCATTCCATGGAGAACCCAGAAATCTAAAACATAATAAATAAAGAATCAATTGCAAATTCGAAATTGGAATGAGTAATTGAGCATCTAACAGACAATGTTATAAACCCTAGTTTCATACTCCGTATTTTATAGAGCTTATAGAGTCAGATATGGAAGAGGATTACCTTACTCTATAGAGTGAGCAATGGTCGAGAAAGAAACAAGATCCCGAAGATGAAGGACGGATAAGGTGAAAGATGATGTTCTGCCCCTTACCTTCGCTCTCAATCCCGCAGTGGAGGAACTCTATTGCAAACCAGAGATGGGGTCGGTCGACCAGGGACTAGGTTATCGCTCAAATCCTCCATGGCTCCATGCATCCATACGCTCGTCCGTCGTTGCTTGTGAATTGTGATATCTTTAGTCCGTTGAGAGACGGGAAAGACGGGAAAGGCCAAAATTTTGAATCGGTAGAGGCGTAGAGCCGGCTAAAGGCTAATGGCTGACCGGATTTCTTTTTGTGCTAATTACCCATTTACCCGTACAATCTATTTTTTCGTGTACCATATCATTTATGGCCTAGTTGATCTTTCTTTTCATTTTTAACTTTTCTCTTTTCAATATTAATTTTTTATTTCACTTTTAGACTGGATTTCTACCTAGCCCTCCTTTCCGTTTCGTATTGCCATTTCCTTCCCCCTATCGGCTATCTCAGACCACTAAAACCTAACCCCTAAATCGATCGAAGTTGTCTGGGACTCTGGAGATCAATGTTGGGCGTTGGTAATTCAAGCTTCACACTCGTCGATTTCAATCCGAAGTTGGAGGAGTATCCGTCTCCCAGGCTCCCAGCAACTTGTCTCGCATCATCTTCTTCCCGGTCTATCTTCTTCTCAAAAATACATATGTAAATTCTTCCAAGTCTCACCAAGTTCCTTAGATCGAATCATGTTCGCTGCCTATGCCTCTGACGGCAATAGCTTTCGATCGACAACAGTAGGATGGTGTCTTTTCCCGAGCTTCGAAGAGTGATCTATAACTCTTCCGCACTCCCTGCACTTCTACGAGAAACTAGCTTCTTTGTCTTCTTTGACTAACATCATATAGAAAGCAGCAACATAGAACATCGAACGGAGCTTTTCGAGATGAACATCAACAGTGAGGTATACACTATTTTTCTCACTCCATGTACAGAGAGGTATTTGAATTGATATAGATCTTTTATTGAAACTTAGCTCATCGTCTAATTTGTGTCAATGATCGATCTGAGGAAAATAAATTTGATGCTTCAAAATCACCTTAATGATTCTATGCGAAATTTACTGGAATGGTATCTGATTTGCCTTTGTTTTGGAGTTTAATTGATTAGTGTTACAACATGCGTTGCAATTTAATGTCAGACTTCGGTCTTTCCTTTAATTCATTTGTTTGAGCCTGGATCCCAACTAGGTTTCACATTTCTCACGAGAGAAACTGCAATAAAAAATGCATGGTACTCATCTGGTGTTCATATTAATATTGTTACATGCAGCTAATAAGCTTCCATTCACTCAAACACCACTCCAGAAAAACTTGACAGAACTTTGGCCCCTTTTGAAGTTTATTTTACCTAATATATTCTCACCCCATGAAGAATATGAGGCATGCTAAACATCTGATGTTTTAATTATAATCCCAAAATTCTTATATCTTATTGACTTATTTGTATATAGAGTATTTCTTTTTGGTAAAATAAAGTTTTGCAATCGTTGGTATATACTCCCTCCGTTTCTGAAACAAGTTCCACATTTGACTTCACACATATTAAGAAAATAAATTTGACTTTACCGTGGAGTGCACTGTTTGGCACTGTTTGAACACTGTTTGGCACTGTTTGAACACTGTTTGACACTGTTTGACACTGTTTTGATGTAGATAATTTGTCAAATAAGGAAATGTTTGAAAGTGGAACTTAATTTTAAATCTTCCCGAAAAGGAAAGGTGGGACTTGTTTCAGAAACGGAGGGAGTATTTTTCTAATCAGGAGCTTTGTTTAGGACTGCAGTTTTCTATTTTTATCTCTTTTAATTTTGTATGGTTTCCTTATTATAAGTGTCTCTTTACATTATAATACTAGTATAATTATTTGTTAACTCTGTTTTGTATCAGATTCATTAGATTGAGTATTGTAGGAATTCAAGCACTCGACTTCAGTTCCCAATAGAAATCCGTAGGGTACTCTCGGTCTAAGACCCAAATGGAAGCACCTTGTTAGCAGCCCTATCCTTGACTAAGCCCTACCATGATCCTTACAAGCAGCATATGCAGTCTGTGATAAGGTAGTAAGTTAATCACTTCGTTGGCACACGTAAAGTAGCCGTCCTTGCTTACATTTTACAATTTGCTTTTGTCTAAAAGTGTTTTATTTTTGAATTGGCATATCTTTTTCTATGTTTTTTAAATTTCAGAGCTAAATGTTCTAATACATTTTAGAGATTAGCGGATAACATAATTTCCGGATCAAAACACGTCCATGATTCAGTTGCTTCTGTTCCTCTGGACAGGATTCTTCTTAAGCATCTATTCCACATTATGACAGACCGATAATTGTCAAATTTGGATCATCTATCAACGCCTTTAGTTTTTTTTACGTTGAAATTAAGTTATGAAAAGTTTACTATGATGGCGCTCGCTGATGTAACTATTACATGATGTAGGTAATCGAGCATGTTTTAAACCAAGACTAGTACATGATGTTGGTTTTTGGTAATAAAGCATTATGAGTTCGTGTCATAATGATCACGTTCTCATCGGAGGCACATTCTAAGAAAATATTTACATGAAGATGCTGAAGGTGAGAAGATATACAAAGAAACGAAGAAAAGAGATACAAACTTGATGGATTATGTATAAAGATGCAAAATAGATGGAAGTAGAAGAACCAAGTCAAATGTTATAATAGATAAATGTAGATTGAAATATACATTTGTTGTAAAGATTTCATATGCTTTTGTTGTTGCTAAATGTTATTATGCACATGTTGCTTTTTGTTGCATCTTGTTTCTTTTTGTTGCATGTTGCTTTTTGTTGCATTTTTTTGCTTTTTGTTGCATCTTTTTGCTTTTTGTTGCATCTTTTTGCTTTTTGTTGCATCTTGTTTCTTTTTGTTGCATGTTGTTGCCTTTTGTTGCATTTTTTTGCTTTTTGTTGCATTTTTTTGCTTTTTGTTGCATCTTTTTGTTGCATTGCAACAACTATATATTTGATGGAAAAACTCATAATCACATATACCTACAAACACCTAAAATGATAAATTTGAATTTGAAACACTGTGAAACAATAAAAAACTGCAAGTAATTAATAAAAAGAATAACAAAAAACTCAAAGAACAATATGAAACAATTAATTATTATTACACTTGTGTAACCATTTTTAGAATTTTAAATAAGAAATTTATAAAAAAATCAATTTTTCCATTTTTTTATATAATTTCGTTTTTTATATTTTTGTTTTTAACTTTATACCATTTATACGTTTTTTATTTTAAAATGTTTTTAAGAATTTTATTTTCTATTTTTTTTATTTTACTTATAAAAATTTTAATTTCATGTTTTCAATTTTTTTCAAAATATTATATATTTATTTGAATTTTTAAATGCTATCAAAATGTTTTTATTAATTTTTAATGTTTTTGATTATTTTTAAACTGTATATCTATCAATTTAACAAAATATACTATTCCATACAGATTTATAACTACTTTTCATATTTTGAAACGGTTCCAAAATTTTTTATCTGATTTTACATATTTGTTTATAATTTATTTTCTCAATTTATAAGTATCGACTTTTTTGTACCTTTTCCTTTTTAATAGTATTTTACTTTAGTTTATGTATTTTAATAACATTTTATTTATTATTTTTGACTTTTATAATTTTTATACATTTATTGTATTTTATAAGTGCTAAGTGTTCAACCACCCAAAATTTATTTAGTTTCTATGAATTTTTGTCATTTTTCATTTTTTCCACTTAGTTTTCTAAAACTATGAATTTTTAAGTGTAGGTATAGAGAATAAAGTTGACACATTAATGGATTTTCAATCTTCCCTGTGCAATCCGTTAGTATTTTTGAATGATGCAATCAGTAGCCGTTACTTAAAAAGTAGCTATGGTGGTGATGGTCTATTGTTGAAAATAAAACCATTCCTAGTCCGTTTTTGAAAGAAAGTTGAGGAAGTGAAAAAGTGATATTTTTTACTTTTGGGTTGTTTGTAAAAAAATCTCTTTCTTTTTTAGTTGCAACATTCACATTTTCACGTTTGACAACGCACAACTTTGACCGTTATTATATTTAATTCTATTTTATTAAAAAAATTAAAAATCGGATTGTGAAATTTCTTAATGAGACGAATTCAACAATATTTTCCCAAAAAAAATAATTCACATACATTAATAAATAAAAAGTGGTCAAAGCAGAGTATATGAATAGTGTGTAATTTGCAATGTTGCAACTAATGAGATACGGAGGATAGTATAAATTACATATATAACGGGCTGGGCCGGGTATTTGGCATTTTTATATTTTGGAACCGGCCCGAACTGGAAAAAATTGATACCTGCCCCTACCCGGACCGTTTTATAGTATATAAAAAATTGAACCGGCCCGTTTTGGACCCGAACCGCCATTACCCAGACCGGACCACGGTTCCAATACCCGTTTGCCCACCCCTAATTAAGAGTACATATATACACATGTAGGATGTTGATCAGAGGATATTAATGGACGACGAAGAGATAAAAGAGAGGTGGAGGTCATACTTTGATACACTTCAACGGGAACAAAACGCAAGATATCGGCGATTTGTCCATACCAGATTGTATGGTAAACCGTGATTTTGTGAGAAGGATCCAAACAACGGAAGTTAAAGAAGCTCTGAGGAAGATGGGACGGAAAAGAGCAATGGGGCCAGATGGCATACCGATCGAGGCTTGGAGAAGTTTGGGAGAGAGAGGCGTCGAGTGGTTAACGAGTTTCTTCAACATGATTTGGAGAAACAACAAGATATCAACGAGTTGGAGGAAGAGTACTCTTATCCCCTTATTTAAGAATAAAGGTGATGTACAAGAATGTGCCAACTATCGAGGGATTAAGCTTATGAGTCACACCATGAAACTTTGGGAGCGAGTGATTGAGCAAAGACTTCAAAGGTCTGTGAAGATTTCAGAGAATCAATTCGGTTTTATGCCTGGTCGCTCAACAACTGAGGTCATTCACCTTCTTCGGCAACTTATGGAGAAGTATAGAGATGCTCATAAGGATCTGCATTTGGTGTTCATTGACTTAGAAAAGGCATATGATAGGGTACCTCGAGAAGTTCTTTGGTGGGCCTTAACTAGGAAAGGCATATCACGCAAGTATATCACCATCATCATGGATATGTATGAGGATTGTACTACAAATGTTCGTACTAGTGTAGGGAGGACTGAAGAGTTCCCTATTACTATCGGAGTGCACCAAGGATCAACCTTGAGTCCTTTCTTAT